GCCCAAGGTTTTTTTTTTTTTTTTTTTTTTTTTTGGTCTTTTTTACTGACCGGTTATGGGATTGCAACCCTCGGTGTCGCGCCCGTACCGGGGACTGGCAACGGGATCGCAACCCTTGGTGTTGCGCTCGCACTGCGCTCAGCCAGTGAGCGGGAACCTGTCTCCACATGGGATCCGAACCCTCGGCGGGAGCGCCGCCACGCTCCCAAGCGGCGCTCTCTCCAGTGCGCCACCGGGCCGGCCCTTTTCTTTTTTTTTAAAAGAAGAAGGGTGGCAAGGAGACTGATTGAAATTCAGAATAAATAAATATAAGAGTACTTCAAAAAGTTCATGGAAAAATATTATCTTTTAATTCTATTTTTCCATGAACTTTCTGAAGTGACATCCTTCCCCTGAGATCAGCTTTGATTATAATGAAACAGAATGTGAACCCTGGTTCATTTGCTGAGTTATTTCCCTGCTAAAATAAGTAAAAATCGATGATCATCAAGTGGATTTTGTTTCAAAGAGAAATACTAGTTTTAGGAAACACTTTAAAATATCTAAATTTTATTGAAATTTGTATTAAATTTTAAGGATGTTATAGATAAAGATATTCTGGTTAAATACATCCTACTTTTAATTATTAGATTCCTTTAAAAGGGAATATCTAGATTTCTGAAACTGTCTTCCACTGTATTCTAGACTATTGTTCTCTCCCAATTCTCTTTCTAACTATCCAAGTATGGCTTTACAATCTCCTTTGCCACCTTCCTCCTCTGCTCATACCCTAAAATAATATTATTCTTAGGGTTCTAACCTCATAATGGAAGATCCCCAAACAATAATAGCTATATTTATTGAAAGTTAATTATGTATCAGACACTGTTCTCAGTGCTTTACATGTATCACTCACCCTCATAACCATTTTATGATAGCTCCTATTTACAGTAAAAACCAAGATAACACAAATTCAGATTTAACATAATTGTTGACAGGTAATGAAGAAAAATGATAGGAACTGGAAAAAGCAGCAAAAGCAAACTGCACTATTTATAGTAGGCAGTACAGCCATTAAGAATGCCACTCTGGAACCTACATCCTGAGCATGTGTGCATCCTGGCTCTGCCACTTAACATGCTAAACCCTGGTTAAATTATTTCAAGTTCCACTGTTTCATTATCTGTAAAACAAAAATAATCCAAAAAAAAAAAAAAAGCATATGCCTACATAAAGATTGTAGCAGCTTTATGGTAAATAAATTGTTGTATATCTTAACAATGGAATAGCATTCAGCAATAAGCTTATAGATAATTTTCAAAATAATTATGTTGAGGAAAGAAGCCAGACCCCCCCACACCCAAAAAAGACAAAGAAAAATAACACACTATATGATTCCATTTATATATAGTACTAGAAAATGGAAACTAGTCTATAATGACAGAAAGCAGAAGAGTGGGGACCGGGGTAGCGGGGAAGAAGGCATTACAAAGGATTACAAGGAGGCTTAAGGAAACTGTTGAGGTGATCGATATGTTCATTATCTTGCCTATAATGATGGTTTCATGAGTTTAACATATATCAACTTACCAAATTGTAAACTTTAAATATGTACAGTTTACTGTATGTCAGTTATACTCAATAAAGCTGATTTAAAAAAAAATAAAAAAAAAAAAAAAAAAAAAAAAAAAAAAGCATATGCCTACATAAAGATTGTAGCAGCTTTATGGTAAATAAATTGTTGTATATCTTAACAATGGAATAGCATTCAGCAATAAGCTTATAGATAATTTTCAAAATAATTATGTTGAGGAAAGAAGCCAGACCCCCCCACACCCAAAAAAGACAAAGAAAAATAACACACTATATGATTCCATTTATATATAGTACTAGAAAATGGAAACTAGTCTATAATGACAGAAAGCAGAAGAGTGGGGACCGGGGTAGCGGGGAAGAAGGCATTACAAAGGATTACAAGGAGGCTTAAGGAAACTGTTGAGGTGATCGATATGTTCATTATCTTGCCTATAATGATGGTTTCATGAGTTTAACATATATCAACTTACCAAATTGTAAACTTTAAATATGTACAGTTTACTGTATGTCAGTTATACTCAATAAAGCTGATTTAAAAAAAAATAATAATAACATATCCTACAGGGTTCTTGTAAGTATTTAATGGGTTAATACATATAATACACATAAAATACTTAATATTCTGAAAAATATTACCATTATAATTTTAAAGTCTATGATTCACACTTGAATACAAATTCAAAGAATCTTATTGTACTTCTATGGGCAAAACCCCATGCAAACTAATGAAAATAATAATGCTTATAAAAGTTAACATTAAAAAGACTTTCAAAGCAACAAAAGGATTATAATATTAACTTTTTATATTGGATGTTTGTCAGCAAAGCATTGTGCTAAAGACTTTACACAGATTGTTCCATATAATCCTTATAACAATCCTTTGAGATAGCTGGTATTATGACCATTTTACACGTGAAGATATAAGAGCCTAACAGTGAGTATGTAACTTGCTTGAGTTCATACAGTAAGTGGAAAAGATTTAACACTCAGCCAAGATCTCATGGACTCCAAAGTCCATGGCAATTTTTTTACTTCACTGAAAGGTCACCTGATTCCTTGCTTTAGAAAGTAAAATTTCACAGTATCTAAACAGGTGACAAGAAAGAATTTCACTGCCAAATCTTAAGGAACCTGGCATCCTGCTATATGAAGGGAGTAAATTAATATCACTTACCATATCTGTAGCTTGATCTTCTTTCCTTGTAATTCAACTGTTTTGATCTTAAAGTCTATTCCTACAACATAGAAAAAAAAGCAAAATTTAACTGTGGCTTTGTCCTTGGCTATACCAAAATTTATAGGAGTAAAAATGCTTACACTTTTAAAATTTGTTTTTGTTTGGTTCTGGAGATTCACTAAGTATGCAATTCTCAGCAAAAGTGTCCAATTTTAAACCTGGGTAATGTAAGATCCAGGATGGTCGGAGAAATAGCCATAGAAAGAGTGAGTTTTCATAAAGGAGGAAATAAGTAAATTTTAAAATATCGAATATTTTAATGTCTACGAATAAAAAGACATTTCCTAGTAAGAAAAAAAAACAGTCTTTACTAGTTTACAGAGCAAAAGAAAACTATCAGAAATAAAGAGGGTCATTTCATAATGATAAAGCAATTCTTTAGGAAAGCATAAAAATACAAGTGTTTGGGCTGTCTGGTTAGCTCAGGTGGTTAGAGCACAGCCTTGTAATACCAAGGTCAAGGGTTCAAATCCCCATACCAGCCAGCCACCAAAAAAAAAAAAGTTTATACACCTAGTAAGACAGAGCTGCAAAATACATGAAAGCAAAACTTAAGAACTGCAAGGAGAAATAAACCTACAATTACAGTTGGAGATTTCAACACTGCTTTCTCAATAACTGATTTTTTTTAAAAGTAGACAGAAAATCAATAATGATAAAGACGACTTGAAAAACATTATATCAACCACTTTGACCTAACTGACATTTACATAAATCACCATCCAAAAGCAGAACACACACTCTTTGTGTGCATACTGGACATGTATCAAGAGAAAACATGAGGGCCATAAAGGAAATTTCAAAATATTTAAAAGCATTGAAATCACACAAAATATGTTTTCTGACAACAAATTAAACTAGAAATCAATAACAGAAAGACATCTGAAAAACTCCTGAATATTTGGAAATCTGTGGGTCAAAGGAAAAATTACAATAAAATTAGAAAAACTTGAAATGAAAACAAAAACATAACACATCAACATTTGTGGGGTACAGCTAAAGCAGTGTTTAAGGGAGAAATTTATAGCACTAAAAGTTTACATTAGGAAATAAAACTATAACAAAATTCAATCATTATTTCAGAAGTGGAAGAATACCAAAAGAACAGATTAAGTCAGTAATTCTTAAAGTATGTGAAAAAGATGAGAACTACTGAGTTTTAAAAAGCAACCCCCAATAGAATTTATTTGGCAGAGTGGAAAAAAAAGTTACTAGAGAAAGGAAAAAGGTAACTTCAAAACAAAAAATCAATCCAGATAAAGTCATGACAAATTAAATATTTCTAGGAGATTCATGACAATACGGCAGGGACTCCAAACACCATCAAATATACTGTATGTTCTGGAATACATCTTTACACTTTCCACATGAGAATTTTGAAACTATATGACAGTATCATCTTATGATGGATCATAGCAAAATAGCCCATTTGACTTGAGGGCAATAAGTTGAATCAACAGCAAAAGAGCAAAGTGGGAAGAGGAAGGACTAAAGCTCTATTTAGAAAATAATATTAAGCAAATCTGCAAACTGATTAAGTCATCCAACCACGGCAATAGAACAGTCCCAATAAACTGAAACTTATCTCACTACAAAACATCTGGAAATGTTGCATAGATGAAGCATACTTTCAAAAAACTAAGAGAAATTCTTGGCTGGCTGGTTCACTCAGTTGGTTAAAGCACAGCCTTATAACACCAAGGTCACAGGTTCAGATCCTCATATTGGCCAGCCACACAAAAAAAAAAAAAAAAAAAAAAAAAAAAAAAAAA